CCCGCGGTGCCGCCTCGGGCTGCTCCTGCCCTGTGTGGGATGGGTGCAGGCAGGGGCCGGGGACCCCCACCCGGGTCACAGCCGCGTGGCCGTGTTAGGGTGGCGTCGCCTGGCAACCCCGGGACACCCCTGGGGTCTCTATGACCCAAGAGTGCATCATGCAGCCCTGGGGTCCCGTGGGGGCTGCAGTAGGGGGTTTGTGCATGCTGAGCATGGGGTCCATGCTGATGCAATCACATCGCCCTCACGCCGAGGGCACGCATGTGTCCTCGTCTGCAGTCAGAGTCCACGCCCTGCCCCGTCCCCCACAGCCAGGCCTTGCTGGTGCATTGTCCATGGCTGCTGCCCAGAGACCTGTCCCAGTTGAGGACCACTGATCTGTGGTAGAGTTAGCAGTGGTCCCGAGCAGCCCCCGACGGACCAGGGGCCTGGGGCAGCTGCCAGACCAGGAGAGACTGAAAAGGCCAGGACCGTTCAGCGGGGGAAGGAGAAGACCGAGGGGGGATAAGACAGATGTCTACACAGTCCTGACGGGTGTGGACCAGGGAACAGGGGCCTGTTGTTCCCCAGGTCCCAGGACACCAGAATCGGGGGCACCGCTGAAATGAGCAGGTGACGGGTTTTAAACCAACAAGAGATGGGACTTTTCTATGCAAGGCGCAGCGACTGCATTGCCCCAGGCGGGGTGGGGGCAGAGAGCACAGCCAGGGGCAGCAAGGGGCACATGGCTGCAGGATGCATCTGCTCGCGGCTGTGGAGCAGAATGGGCGGAGACGTTTCCTCTGGCATGTCTCCCCCCATTATGTGGGATGCCAGGGAGGGGGGGTGGGTCACCTGAGAGATCCAGTTCAGTGCTCTCCCACTATAGCATCCACCCCAGCCACTGCTGGAGACCCTGCTCGGACCCAATCCAGATACGGTCGCCACCCACAGGCACTGCTACAGGGGCTGGTACCCATCTCCGGTGCATGCTCCAGACCGGGGCTTTGCTTTTGCTGGGGGGCTGCTTTCCAGGTGCAGCTCCAGGGGCTGGTGTTGGACTAGGAGGCCCCGGGTGGTCTGGGCCCTAGAGGGGTGTCTGGAACAGCTGGATCTGACCTGCCCTGGCCTTGGGGGACTGGGGAGAAACTCTGCCCTCCCTTGGCAGCCCTGGCACAGACTCAGTAGCTGCGGAGAAGGCACAGACGGTGCTGCGCCCATCCGTCTGTCTGTCTACGGCGGGCTTGTCCGTGCAGCGAGGGCCCGTGTCCGCGGGGCTGTGACAGGATGGGGTATTCGTGGGGTACGTTGGCAGGAGCCGAACGCAGGCGTTCCAGCGCCTGCCCGGCCGGCCGGCCATCGCCCGGCATCCCCACCCCTGAGCGCAGGGAGGGGAGAGATGGAGCTTGGCTGAGGCTGAGACTGAGCCAGCCCAGGGCCCAGTCCTGCTCCTGGCCTCAGCACCACTGGTCCAGTGTAAAGGACATGCTGCCCTCACCTGCCCCGCAGATAATGAGGAGATATCTATGGGCAGCCCCTTCCATGCCCTCGTCCCCGATCCCTGACCCCCTGGGTCCTGGACCCCAGCCCAGGTAGCTTGGAGAAGCGGCGATGCAGGGGACAGGCTCCAGGCACAAGACCCAGCACCATCCAGCATGGGAGGGACCCGAGGAGCAGGACCCCCTCCTGCAGCCAAGGAAGCCACGGAGCCGCCACGTCGCTGCCACGGGTCATGTTGGGTCACAGGAGCGGGCAGAGGCCCACGAACAGCAGGGTCTCGAGGCACCGGGGGCCGGCGCAGAGCAGGGTGGAGGCCAGCAGGCAGGCGGAGGCGGCCAGCAAGGCTGGCAGCAGGCGGGTGAAGGTGGCCAGAGCCTCGGCCAGCTCAGGTGCCAGGGGGCCGAAGAGCAGGGCCGCGGCGGGGGGCTGCAGCGGGGCCTCCCCGAGCCACGTGTAGGACCAG